CTCATCCCTTGACCAAGAGCTCTCAGGGGCAGCCACTGCGGCTGATTTACCTCTCTGTCCCTGAGACGCAGCACAGGGCCTGATGGAGAGAAGGTGCTCGCATACAGTTGGATGGATGAATGTATAGATGGATTTTGAAATGAGAGAATGATCGATGCACTTCATGGAGCCCTAGGTCCTTTGTATTCTCCTGAGGAAGGTCTGTGGGGGTTAGGCAGATTTTATGAGACCGTTTGGCCAGGATTGCAACCTCATCTCCAGTAAATGAAGCCTACACAGCTGCAATGTGTCACCTTTCCTCACAGCCTATTACAGTCTGCTTTTTGCTCAGAAGAAACTGAGCAAGCTGGTCAGGGGCTGTTAGGCGCACCTGTCTTAGACTAAAGAGCCTCGATTAACCTTGTGTATAAATTACACTGCCTGCCCATTCTTTATTTTTAGCTCGGCAATATCTATTTGGCTCCTCCAGGAAGACTGCATTGGATTTCAGTCATGAAACTACAAAACAGTGGCATTTCTAGCCCGGCTAGGATGACCCTTATTAACTCTATGACACTGTTTCTTGGGGGGATGCTCCTGAGGCCTGGGACTCAGGTTTTCCACATAAAGATAGCGGCCTGGCCGTCCAGCGCCCTCAGGACCTGGCCAAAACCATATGTGCATTTGTAGAGAAATCTGCTATTGGATCTGACTTTTTAGACTCACATAAACTGTCAGTTTCCCACATTCATTCCCTTTGGGTGAAACTCAGTTGTTATCGCGAAAGTCTAGTTTCGTTGCTTCTTTTTTTTTCTCTCTCTCTCCGTTCCTTCTCAGTTACGCAGTATCATGACCCAAATCTTTAGCACTTGAACTGTATAGCTGAGAGCCCCAAACCCAGAGGGCCGGGGCCAGGCTGGGGAGACCGTCGGGCCAGCCAAGGGGCATCAGGTCCCACAGAATTCTTAACCACCTGGGGCTGCTTCACGGGGGGGAGGTGAGTTACTTAGACAGCCTTTTTGTTGTTGTTATTAGTCAGCCATTTTTAACACAATCTTGTTTATTTTAGAATCCCCTGTAGTACCTAGCTCTGGGTCCAGTCAAACAAGGTCCAGAAACATTGGTTGAATTGAATGTAAATCGACTATGGAATGCACCCATTTACCCCCTCACTTGACACCGGAGAGGCTGCAGCCCTGGCTTCTTTCCTAGGCCACAGCCTGTGAAATGCTGCCTACTCAGTGCCAAGCCAAGGAGGGGTTTTTAAAAAGCATTTTATTGTTTCTATTCTAGTTAGATAAGAAATACATGAATGTTTTTAAACTGGGAAAATATGGAAAATTATAAAGAACAAAATTTAAATCACCCATTATCCCATCATTCAGAGACAACTACCACTGAGATTTTTCTATTTTCTCAGTCTTAATCCTCATGAACGGGTGCCCTGTGTCCCTCCAGATTCCCCTGAGGATTGGGGGAAGTCGGGAGAGCATATAGTCTTTCTAATCTTTTAGCTTCAGGTGTTATTGGGATATATATATATTTTATGTATATATATTTTATATATATTTATATTATTAGGCTATATATACATATGTATCATGTAATACACACATCTATAATATATATGCCTATAATATATAAATATTTGAACTGTAGCAGTTTGCTATTGCCACATTAGTGCTATATGAAAAACTATTCTCAAACCGAGTGGTTTATAATAAAAATCACTTATTCTTGCTCACACTTGTGTGAGTAGGCCGAGCGTTTGCTGGTCAAGGCTGGGCTCAGCTGAGTGGCTCTGATTTGAGGTGCAGGCCCGCCTAGGCATGGCCTCTGACTCTGAGTTGGGCTCTGGTTTACTCCCCATTGTTCTTTCCAAGGCCAGGCTGAAGGGACAGCAGTGGAGCTGGCAGAGGCACATGAGGACAAGCCCAGCTGGGCAAGCGCATTCCAGGCCTCTGTCGTGTCTGCTAACGTCCCATTGGCTAAAGCGGGCCACAAGACTGAGCCCAAAGTCAAGGAGTGGGGAAACACATCCCCCCCGCCATGAGGCCAAAGCAAGTCACGTGGCCGACACAAACATCAGTGGGTCAGCGACATATGTGCTCTTCCCATGGAGATGAAGGGGGAAAGAGGAGATGTGTCTGCGAGCAGAATCTACCCAAATCCTAAATAGCTACTGGGGTACTCTGTCCTTTGAGATTCAGATCTCCCCAGAAATCACCTGGCCTGTACTATCATCCAATCTATGCAGGAAACCCCTGGCCCAGCAGCTCCTCTACCCATTGAATTAGTTCAGTTTCTGGATCATTTGGCTGTCCCATGTGTGTTGTCTCTATTCCATGCTCATATCCTTTTCCTTAATTCTCCCCAAAATAGTTTACACAGATAAGTGTAGAAGATTTTGCTGAACATTTGGGACAGCAAAGGAGTTTATATCTCTCTGTTTATATGTCTGTGTGGCTCAGCTCTCTCTCCTCTAGACTGTTTGCAGCTCAGCCCACACACACAGCCTCTCAAGTCAAAGCTTGCTGAAGAATTCACTCTGATCTTAGAAATCCTGAAGCTCTCATGTTGGCTGAACCATGCCTTTTTGCAACTTGGTTTGATTCATTCCACATATGTGTACAGTTATGTGCTGCATGACGTTTCAGTCAACGACAGACAGGTGGCCCCATCATACGTGACGGGATTGGTCATATATGATGTAAGATTAGTACCCTATAGCCTTGGGGTATAATAGGTTCTACCATCTAGGTTTGTGTAAGTACACTCTATGATGTTGGCACAATGAAATCACCTAAGGATGCATTTCTCAGAACGTTTCCCTGTCATTTGGCCATGCATGACTGTATTGAGCATTTAGGCCCTCTCTGTGATGAATTTATAATCTAGTAGGGAAAATTACTCATTTATGCATACTCTGACACAGGGTTTAGTGTTACTAAACCTCAGCACTGTTGATATTTGGGGCCAGATAATTCTTTGTTTCGGAAGCTGTCCTATGCATTGTAGGATGTTTAGCAGCATCCCTGACCATCAGCCACTAGATCCCAGTAGCACCAACTCTACTCTCCCTGAGTTAAGGACAACCAAAATATCTCCAGACATTACCAAATATCCCCTGGGGGCAAAATCACCCTGGTTGAGAACCAGCGTCCTAACATAGAGTAGACCTCTGATAAACCAAAATAATATGCTAATGAATGTTCAGAGAAGGGCATTGTTATTTCCTGTTAGTGAATCTGTGAAAGCCTCATGGGGCAGGTGGTATCTGAGCTGAAACTTCAAGAAGGTTAGGGTTTGAGATGGGTTTCTTGGAGGAGACAAAAACATGGCACACAAATGGGTGAATAAGTAGTTCTGTTTGACTAAAGCATATAGTGAAATAGGCATGGTGATAAAAGTGGAGGTCATATGCTAATGGGAGGCTAGATGTATATGGACTTGTAAGTCATTCTAAGGACTTCCACTCTTACTGTGAGTGAAAAATAAGTATATCTGAAGCTGTGTTCATTTGGAGGGGGTACAACTGGATGTAGAGTTTGTCTTCATAACTCAAAATAATTGCTGCAAATTCTCATCCATTCAGAAGTCGTTTTCCTGACACCCAGGAAGGAGACAGAAAAGGCTTCTGAGGGCACAGTGCATCCCTAAGTAAATCCGTGTCTATAGCTAGTGTTCCCTACCTCTCAGAAGATCTCATTCCGAACTCTTTATTTTAGGTCTTAGTCTAATAGCCTTGGGTAACCAGTTCCCAACGGTAGATTAGAAGATGGAAGAAAAGGACAAGGAGGAGGGAGAGGAGGAACAGAGGCAGGCACAGACTGTGCAGCAAAGCTTCCAGCACGGCAGAGGGGAAAGATGCCAAAAGCAGAAGTGAACGAATAAACAAACAAATTCAGACCAAATAATTCAAGAAGCGTAACAGTCTGGAGTCCCTTAGCCAGGGGAACATCTATCCTTCGCTAACCCCCAAAGGCATTGCTGCATAACAGTGCCAGCCTCGTATGCTAATATACTCGGTGGTTAACAAGGCAGGAAATAAGTGAAATACTGCAGAATCCATGTGGTAAGAATTTAGCACAATGGTTAGGAGTAGGGTCTTAAGTTAGACGTCCTGGCTTGAATCCTTGCTTCAAGGCCCTGCAACAGTAAACTAGTTCCTTAAACTTACCAAGCCTTAATGATCTCATCTGCAAAATGGGGATTCCTTACCCATAGGGTCCTTGGGAAGGTTAAGTAAAATAATCCATGTGAATTCTTAGCTCAGTTCTTGGCACAGACTTAGTGCTCATTGAAAGAATGGTTCCTACCATTATTTCATTGAAAGAATACAGCTGCTGAGATTGCTCTCAAATCATAACTGTAGCTGCTGTTCTGGAATATTCCCAGAGTCTCCTAGCAGTGCTGAAATTTCCCTTCCAGAAAATATATAGGATGGCTGTGAAAACCGAGGAAAGTTCCAGAAGAGTAGAGGCAGTTGTATCAGTCCACTCCATTTCCCCTTTTTCGGCAGTAGAGACCAGGCTACTGAGGGAGATGACAGCAGGCTTCCAAGGGTGCTGGCCACCTGCCATTTCTTGAAAACATATATCCTTTGAGCAAGACTGGCCCTTCATCTTTTGACCAAACAGAAGAGCACTTATTCTGAGACAGCTAGGAGAATATGAAGATGTTTTCCTCCAGGCCTTATGTTCTATGCTATGTAGAACGTAGTATCTACTTCCAAATTAAAAATGTGCATATTAGTAGAGTTGAAGAGGACACCGAAGCATATTGCAAAGTGATGGCCACGAACTAGTGGCAGGAGCTCTGGGTTGTTGTCCTTTGATCAATGTCTGCTCAGTGGCAAAGCTGAAAACACAGGACGCTCTGTAATGTGAAACCTTGGCTTGTACCTCAGCAAAATGTAAAATAGAGACTGCCAGCAAGTCACCCAACAGGAAGGAACTGTTCTCTGGCCCAGGGGTGGCAGGACCATAAAGTAACCTGTCCTCTGTTTGTGTGTTTTCCAGGCTCGAGCAGGAAATCCAAGCGCTAGAGAGTGAAGAGTCCCAGATATCTGCCAAAGAGCAAATCATCCTAGAGAGACTAAAGGAGACGGAAAAATCCTTCAAGGACTTGCAGAAGGTGAAGAGAACGAATATGATTTCCCTAAATGATATCCAGGGGGAAGTAGGCACTAGCAAAATGATGCCAACTGGAGAAAAGGCCAGTTGGTATGGATGAGAAGTTTGAGCCACACACTCTGTGAAATGAGGGCGACATGTGTGAGGACCCGCACCATCTCAGAAGCTGAGAGTGGCCTGTCTTCAGGTGTGGGACCACCTGACCTGCCAGGAATCACAGAGAAGAGTCATTAAATTAACCCCATCTACTCCTGTCCAAACCCTTTATAGGCCTAATACCTGAAAAGTCATCTCCCGTTGGACTCAGAATTCTCAAATCAATTCTTATGAAGCAGATTAAACCTGCTCCCTGTGGCTTTAAGTCTTTCTTTTATAAAAAGGCCAGAGGCAAAAGCAAATCAAATGGACATGAATTCCAAATACAAATAGTGTAAATACGTGAAATTTTACTGTCTATACAAACAGATGGTGCCGTGTAGCCAAGAGAAGAGAATGCACAGAGCCAGCAGGCTCTGAATGTGCCGGGACCTTCCCTCTGTTTTGTAACTCCTGGTTCCCTGGGTGCCCATCCACGAGAGAAAGCAGTCTAATTTAGTTATTTGTAAGATGGGATTTTCTGATATCACTTCTCCAACCCAACCAAGTGTGTTTGCTGGATAAGCAAAATAAATCTCTATTGGGAGAAATTCGGTGTAAAGTGGGAATGGTAAACCTTTCCCTTAAGTTTTGTGATCCCAAACGAATTTCCCAGAAGGAAAGAGAGCATTGGGTCTGCCCACTCTAGTCAAATTCTGGGCCTGGGCTGGAGGAGAAAGATGAGTGAGGGATTATCACCCTACGTGTGTAGTAACGCTCTGCCCTGCTTTTGTTTCCACAGAGCTTCTCCAGTACGGATGGAGGTAAGCGTGAGTCTCTGCCCCCTCTGTAGATGAATGTGTTTATCCCGGTCAGCTTAGAGGGTTTCATTAACACACCAGCAGATGTGGTGTCTTGGCTTGTGAGGGCATCAGAAAGAGCAGTGCTGTTTGCAGGACACTGGGGAGTTCCACATCCTGAGTCTTCTCTGCCTCTCTTCTTCAAGAGCTGTTTCTTGACTCACTTTTTCTGTTCTTATCCCATTGGCCTGCCTCTTATCCTTCCCATTCAGTCCCCAAGGTTCACTGCCTGGGCTTTTCTTAAAAGATGCTCAGCAAAGGGCACTAACATCAGGATCAGGTCCCTGACAGGAATGAGCCCATTTGTGCTGGTGGTTAGGTCTCCAGGCCACAACACACATCAGAAGGTCATCATCTGGTGTTCAGGAAACCTTCCTAAGGCCTCTGGTTTTTCTTTGACTGAGAAAACTGCAGTTTCTCCAGCCTTCCAGGGAAACAGGGCTGGGCAGAACATCCCCCCCTGGGAGGGGGATAGTTGGCCCAGAGCACATGAAGGTGGGAGCAGGGCTCTGGTTTTCCTGCCCCCATCCTGGTAGGAGTGGGCCTTCCGCCTGTCCTCCTCTCTCCTTTCCTCGGGCCTTGGGGATGAACTTGGGATTGTGTGCTTCTCATCCTTCACTTTGCTCCCCTAACCTTAGCTACAAACTCATGAAAACCACTCGATTCCCACTTTCACTCTGACTCTCTGCTTGACCTGCTTTAGAACGCTGGGCCTTGTTGGAAGGATCAGAAACCATCTGCTCATCTGGTTCTTACAAGGTCAATCTCTAAACCAGGAAGATGATCAAGAGCCAGAATAAGAGTTGGCATCAATGTTTTCCCGATGTCATTTGGAAATGTATGGGAAGAGATTTAAAAATGCCCAGAAGGACAATGCACTTTTCTGGATTAGCAAAGACAGTTGCACTAAGGATATTTCTGACTTAAGAAAAAAATATAATCAGGTATTGTGGTGGTTTTATGTTTCCTCCCCAGCAAGTAAAGGCAGGGGATCTGGATTTTGGCTCCCTGGGTGAGCTTTGGGAAGGTATTAAATTAAAAATCATGCTCTCAGCACATGTGGGCAGCAAGAAGTCAAGGCTGGGCCAGCAGGGACTCCAGAAAGACGACGTATGACAGTCCTAGAGCCTTCTCTAGGGTGGCCAAATGAGGGTCTTGTTCTGTGCTTTGAGGGATGAGGCATGGACTGAGGAGGTGGCCTTGCCCGTTTTGGGGAATTGGGGGTGGCAGCATGGGAAGGACATTGGGCTTCCCTGGTGCCAAGGAAGATGTGACGCAGTGCACATAATCGGCAATAACGCAACAGTGACAGGCTGAGAGGGGGTTGGGGGACATTGACCTACAAACACCCACATACCAGAAGGGTGCACACTGACCTTTTATGCTTTCACTTCTTTTTTTCTCTTCTCTTCTCAAACCCAGACCTGACTAGACTTCTCTTTATAATTGGGGAAGAGAAGGAGCCTTACATGTCATGTCTCTGGGAAGGCTTTGTGGGGTGTGGAGAATGAAGCCGTGTTATAAACTCTTGCCACTGTCTTTTTCATCTTCAGCCTGAACTTCTCTCATTTCCTCCTGTGTTACTTCCCACTATTTTCACCTAGGCAGTTCATAGAGGTGGTAAGAAACCTGATCATGACTGACAAGCAAGACTGCAGAGAAAATCGCCCTCATGACTCTGTCCTCTGTTGCTTTTTGACAGGATGGGTGAGCTCAGACTTAAGAGGATGCAAAAGTCTGGCAGGTCCAAAGAAATGGCCAGGGAAAAATTTCTGTGGTCTTACCTGTCACCCCAGATTAGGGTGACATCTCTGGTTATAACTAAGCCTGGGGGACCTTTCCGTCACACCACATCTACTGGCAAAGAAAGAAGTTGGAAGGAGGGAACACATCCTCCCAAGAATGTGGTCCATGTTTAGGTGACCCTGTGGTCTGAGGGTAAACACTGAAGCATGTCCAGTTGAGGGAGTTTGGGATGTCTGATTATCTTCCCGTTCTTTGATTTCAAAGGCCCATTTGATTGCAAAGTTGCCGAGACTCTCTTGGAATCAACCAACTGTTGTTACTAAGAACTAACACAAAATTATTTTAGAATAATAATGCCTTAAGAAAAATGCCAACTTCTGAAACATGCTGATTACAGAATCCAGGCCCACCTGGGATTATATAACTGTAAAGATGCTGCAGATAGTCAACAAGAGCATCCCTGGTTTAATGAGGCACCACAGAGATGGCTGCTGGTGTGTGCGTGTGTAATGATCCCATTTCAGGTACCTTGTGCAAGTCACCCTATGCATGTCAGAGGAAATAAAGGTACTGTCCTGCTGGGTCACCAATGGTTTTTGATTACATGATAGCCTTGGCAATCAAGAGCAATATATTCCAATCTTGAGTAGAATATCCTGGCCATATGTATTCTGATCCTTCCTCACTTCCTCCCTGCCCCATATGCACACTTGTTTTATAGCAAAGTCTTTATCAGTTGGGTGGGTTGTTTTTACTGCCCTAAATAGGCACAGTGTTTTGTGTAATTATACATTTCGTATAGCGCTAACTCTATTCTTTACCCTCCAAGGAGCTAGAATGAAACCGTTGGCCAGAAGTGACAAAGGACAGTGTCTGTCCCAGGCCCATATCAGCTCTTGTTGTATGACGCTTATCTGCTTAGGTTTTCCATCCCATCCCAGTCTGCAGTGGCCTGGAACCTTCCACACATCAAAACCTTCATACTGATTGTTGGGAAATCTCAATGTGTCTTCAGTTGCCCAGAAGTCGAGTTTTCAGGAGAGTTTTCATCAATTTTCTTTCTCTGGCTTTGGCTATTTATGTTCTTCATAGCGACAGTAAAGATTTCAGCAGTGCCGGAGCTAATAAGAAACACTCAGCTTAAATTTCTGCTCTGTAAGTGATCCCTCCCTACCCCAAGCTGCTGCTCTCTCTGGTCTTGCCTTGTCCCGGTTTGGGGCCCAGATCCTTCCCACAGCTCCCTGTGGTGCCAGGAGCGTCTGCAACCTAATTTCAGGCATACGGGCAGGACTGTTCAACACAGAGAATAATATGCAACTTCAGATATGTGGCTATACTCAGAGCCCCTCGCTCAAATCCAGGCCCAGCTTTAGGAGGTGCCCACAGGCTACTTCGCGGCCATCTCCCAGCCCACCATCATCTCAAAGACCCAGCTTCCTTCCTTGCAATGGAGGATCTTCATTCATGTCTGCTGGACCCAGGGTCCAAGCTCCAGCACACACAAGGCCCCAGAGAGAGACAGTAACCCGAGCCTCGCTCCAACCTAATGCCTGCCTGCCTCCCATTGTTTTCCTGTTCCTTCTCTCCAAATGGTTGATATGGGAAAATCCATTCTCTTGGAGAAACACTACCCATTCTCACCCACAGAGTGTGTTCTTTGTCCTAGGAACATAATGGTCCTTTATCAGTACATTCTGGATTGTTCAGACTCACATGTGAGTCAGCAATGGTCTAGTTGGTAGAACTGAACTAATCCTAATTCTAAGCCTAATCTAGTGTCTCTTCACGGTCCTACCCAGCATGAAATTAAAAAAAGAAAATAGAAACTTACCAGAACTAAGGTGGTATTGACAAGGATACAAGAGAACGAGACAGATGTCAGAGACGTAAATGAGGTGGAGGCGGGGGCACTGACTGGACGTTGGGAGGGGTAATGAAGGTGCCACCCAGGATCTTGGGTGAACTGTGGCACCAGTGAACCGAGATACAGAGTACAAGAGAAGCAGTGAAGATGAGAGAGCTGCTCTGGACATGTTGAGTTTGAGGTGGTTGTGGGATATTCAGTGGAGATATGCAGTAAGCAGTTAGATGCAATTATTGATGAGTGATTGATATTCTAGGATTCTGGGACATGGTTGTGACACAGGAAGGAGTCACATCATATAGAAGCCAGCTTTCTAGAATGTTTCTTCACTCTCCCACTTCTCTTTGGGGACAGAGATTCTTCTCCTTGTCTCACTCAGTGGTTTCCTCCTCTCCTCTGATACTTTGGCACGCCTACTGATGCTCGTGCCCTCCAGCGTCTCCTCTCCCTACCTGAGCTTTTCCTGGGCAGAGCCAGTCCCCCACTTTTGTACAACCCCATTTCCTGAAACTGAGCTAATGGTGAGTTCACGGGGTGTTGTTATTTAGAATCTCAGGATTTTCCGCTGAAACGCCTGCCTGGAGTGTTGAAATCATGGGATAAATTCTGGAGACTTGTTTTTTTAAATGCCTATAAAATTGGTTTTCTGAATGATTCAGGCACATAAAGCTATATTTCCATTTTAGGGACTGAGCCCCAAATTTATTTTCAGTACCATTTAGGGCACATTTCTAGTTTGATGTCCCATATTTGGTCAATCCCATCAAGTTGATAATGGCTCTCACTAGCACTTCTCTTTTTTTTTCCCTTGAGCTCATTGTACCAGAATCTAGAGCTTTCTGGTGAATCTTTTAATACATAGAGCAGTTCTGGGGCCCGCGCTCTCTGGCCAGGATCCCTCCTGCCTCAGCTACTCTGCTGAATACCCATCACTGGGCAAATGCTTGTCTTTGTTTCCCTGATCCTCTCGTTCAGTGGCTGCCTCCGCGGTCCATTATGTAGGGCAGACGAGCTGCTGTCTCGGCAGTGAACCCATTGGGCCTCCCAACACTGTGCCTAATTGTATTCCCTGTTCTCTGCTACCAGATGCAGTAAATTACATTTCCTCCCAGCTCCCCGACCTGCCACTCCTCTGTTCACCAACAGCAGAACCATCACCTGGGCAGGACGGGACCAGCAGAGCAGCTGGTAAGTCCTGGGGAGCTATTTGGTTTGGATGCCAGGACTGGCCATGGGGCTTGCCTTTCTCGGAGTTTATTAATGAGGGATGCCCAGATATCTTTACTTGGGGGGACCTTGCCTTCAGCCCAGTCTCAGACACAGACTTGACAGTGGCCACACAGGGCAGGCACTGGGCCGTGATGAGTAATTGAGGACCGCATGGGAGGGAGTACTGAGAAAATCGTGGAAGGTTTTCCCTCCAACTTCAGAGGAGTCTGTCTCTCATGTTTGTGGTCTTTATATCTGTCCTTATTCTCAAAGTTAGTCTGTACTCTGCCACCAGGGATTTTTATGTTCCATATTGGAATTATACAAGATCAAATGAGCTGTGATGGAAGCTGAGTGGAAAGTATTTTCAGAGCGTATGAGTATGTTGCCAGAATCCTTTGAGAATCAACCTGTTTATATATTATGAACATATAATCCCAAGTCTTCCCATTTCTGAAGTTATTTCTTAGCTACTGTGGTATATTTGGGGGAAAAAAGTAGCAATTTAAAGAACATATTTCTTGCTAACGTTTCTCACAATTGTGAATTTTAGAAAATAATGCATTTATGAGGATAAAGTATATAGAGAACTATGCTTTACTCTGTTCAATGTGAATGTGCCTCAGAAATCAGAACTGGATGGACGTGAAAAGTAAATCTCAATTGCAATCTTTTTGCTCTGCACAGACATGCACTGAGGGCCAGGGGGTTAAGTGAAAAAATGAATTGCCAAGGTTGCACAGTTAGTGACAATGTAGGTGCATTCAAATATGAATGTTAGGTTATGCTTGACATCATCTAGGTGAGTTTTGTTTAAAATAAATCACATAATGACAGCTTTTATAAAACTAATCCCATTGTGGACATTTAAGCTGGAGGAAATCTTTTATATAGGCCAGTCTGAATATTTTTATGAAGCAGATAATGCCTCTTTATTTTGATGTAAAAGTAAAATAAAATGGCAAGTAAGTATTGGCATAGCTGTCATGTGCACTGACTTAAATATCTACTGGGTGTCTCTGTAAACATCGTAGCGTATTACCTTTGCATACAGACTCTCAGAGTTCTAGAGTTGGGTGGCACTGCAGGTGGTGTCTGGTCAGACCCGGGCCAGGTCCACATATCCCTGGACAGTTAACAGGATGGCTAAACCTGAACTTGCAGCCTACAGTTGTGCTACAATGAAATCATAAGCAGTGACTTAAGCCGTAGACTCTTAAATGCTCCAAGGTGTATTTCTGAAATCAACTCGGGTAATAACGGTTCAAAAGTTACACCCCTTCTGCTTGTTACTGGAGACTGGGGTGTTGATAGTTCCCAATCGTGGTGGGTAAACAGCTTTCCAGCCCCTCTCCACATGTTCCTGCACCTCACGGGACATGCGATATAATCAACAAATGGATCAGCTCATGGAGGGGGTAAGACAGTGTGTGAGAGCTAACTTTTAAGAGCTATAAAAAAGATTTCAGCCGTGTTGGTTGTCAAGTTCAAGAGCAATACGTTAATGTGATGGTAGTGCTGTGTATGTAGGAATACACTTACTATCACAACCTAGCATCCTTCGTATTTGAAGATACTGCAAAAATGTGATCCAAATGGCAAATGCAGTTTTTAAAAAGTATTATGTGATCCGAAACTTTTAAAAAATAAGTTTACATGTACTTTTGCTTATTAGTTAAGAACTAGTTTGCATAAATGTATATACTGTGGAAATACACAGAAGCAGTTGTGGAAGGAATTGCATTTGATGTGGTTAACTCCTTCATGGGGCTGGTTTTGGAATAGGGTGTCCAGACTCATTATCATTTATGGCGAACAGTGACCACACAGAGCATGGATAGCATACCAACTAATGACACTCACCCCTAGAATTCTTTCTCCTAGATGTAATCCATCTCACTTTAGGAACGTCCTTTTGTCGATTTGCGCAATCTTAGGGCCATTTTAATAAATGTCACTTGTTATTACTCAGTATTATGGAAGATGTTTTTGTTGTTTGGAGTTTGAGAGGTTTAGGATTGTGTATAAATGGGAATTTATTTAGAATCATTGCTTTTCAGAATTAGGAGGCATCTATTCCAATCCCTTATTCAAACATGGAAGCAGGGTACAGCAGCCCGGCAAAGAGGTCCTCGAACCACAGACACACCTCTAAGATTGGCCCTTAATCTCCCTCCAGGTGGCACATTCTGTCTATAATTGGTTCTAACTATTGGGACGTTCTTCCTCTGATGGAGCCATCATTTGTCTGCCTCTGTCTCCCACCCGTTGGTCCTTATCCTGCTCCCTGGAGCCGCTCAGATCAAACCTAAATTCTGATTGCCCTTTAGGTATTTGAAAATGACTATCTTTTCCTGTCTTTCCCAGATCCCCATTCTACATCCCCTTAACTCTCACAGCCCCAGTCTCTTCAGGGTCCCCAGATGATGATATGGCTCTGAGACACCCTCTGCCATTCTGAACACTCTCCACTTGGTCTCTAGTCTTCCCAGAATGCAATGCTCAGAGCTGCCCAGTGCACCCTGGGGTGTGCTGATTGCCCCACAGAGCAGAGCATGACACCAAAGACCATGTGACTCACTTCATTGGCATGGCCTTTCAGCTCCAGGTTCTAAAGTAAAACCCCAAAGTCATTTGACATGTGCCACTGCTCAGTTTCCTTTCCTTTATCCAGCATCGTTACTCATTGTTGCAGAATCATTTCATTTGAAATGTGCAGTCTGTTCCCCTAATTGTGCACACACTGCTTCACCTGTTCACACACAGAAGAACCTACAGAATTCCTTATTACTAATCTCAAAAGGCAAAAATGAGGATGAGCTACGTGCCTTTCTGTCCTTTGTAGATTTGATAGGACTGTTAAATTTCTTCTTGTTGGATTGTCCCTCGTGAGTGCTGGGGGTCCCCAGGGGTCACGGAGGAGCCTCGGCGGAATGGGGCAAGAGAAATGGTGCAAGGTTGGTGGTTGGGGCTCTGGTGTGCTCTCAGTCTTCAAAGACGGCAGCTCCTCCACACTTGCGTTTACATAGTATGTTTCTGCATCAGATTTCATTTGAATAAAGGGTTTAACAGTTTTGAAGGTAGAAAACTCTCTTCTTTATTGTCAGGGGCTTTACAGCTCATGATTGTGGTACCGCATAATCTCACTTTTCATCTCAATTTAGCATCACCTCAAATCTGAAAAACAAGCTTTTATTATTTTTCATTATTTCACTGATGAAAACATGGCACAGTAGGAACCAAAGTCAGAGGCCTGTGGCATACCATTAGGGGTCTCCTGGCCCTTGGGAACCCTAATTCAGTGCCTGTGGGACATGATCATTCAGCCAGTAACAAGTTCTGACACTTGTCCTGACACCCAAGGCACACGTTTCTGTCTTGTCCACAGGAATATAATGAGGATGTATGATGATCCACAGACGCTGTATCTCTGGCATTTGCCTAATTTGTCTACAGACCTTGAACAAAAAAGAAAGTGAGATTAGTCTGCATGGTGTCTGCGTGATGAACCCATGCTGGTCTTGGGAGTCTCTGCTCTTTGAAAACTAACTCTAGAATTTAGCCAGCCACGATGTCAAGCGCACTTCTGTGTAGTGTATGGAATTCACTCCTCATTTTCGAAAATCAGAACTGCGAGTCTCTGCCTTGGGCACGTTTCCTGGTAGACAAGATCCTCGAGACAAATTCATCGATAAAGGAACTGGGGCCCGTGGCCCAAAGCACTGACAGCGTTTATGTCCCTGGTGCTTTATTATTTTCCAATCTTCTCTACTCATCTGGCTTTCGGTTACCTCTTAGCAATATTCTTTTTGGCACTTTTCAGCCTGAAAACTGTCCTTCTTGATCAAAAAGTAGAAGCAAAATCAGACACGAGAAATTGGCTTTTGCGTTTGTTATCCATCAACATCATACCCTTACTGGCATTTTTGTTAATACTAAGGTATCTTGGGAAAATGATCGATTCAAAGAAATTTTCAATTACTGGGTTTTGAAGTTAGAGATTGCCCTCTGGCATGAGAGGGAGAAGCCACTCTGAATTAATTTCCTTGTTTCCATTGTTATTGACATCACAATAGCCATTTTATGTTTCCAACCTGAAGAGAAGTTGTGAACATATGTATATATGCATAATCATGAGGTCGAAGGGACAAGACTGCACGATGTTTCTTCATTCAATGACCCAAGCATATGCATGGCTTCTCTTCCACATTCCAGCTGTGATGCAGCTCCTAGATGTTCATTATATGGGGATGATCTCACTGCTGGGTGACAGTTGTGAGCTGGCTGTCTACTGCCTTCCTATTGTATGTTACACGTCACTGACTCATGAGCCACACAGGAAGTTCACGGCACCATAGAATATCGAAGCTGGATACCGTTCATTACACAGATGGGAAAAGTGAGGCCCCAAGATGGAGTGTCATCTGGATAGGAAATCAGACCCACTGTGTTTCTCCCTGACACCGCCCATCTCACTGATTAATGACAGTGGGGCGTGTCATTTTATACTTTGCGGTGGACCCTCAGCTTTGTTCTTCCTCCCACTGATCTCAGCAAGTCAGAGGAAATGAGTTGGGAGAAGCCTGAGTCAAGGCATTTAACAATGATTGAATTTCCTGTCCTCACGGAACGCAGTGTCTCCTTTTGTATGTTCTTGGCTTGATTCTGAAATGGAATCATGTCAATTGGTCCCCTCCCTCTGTATCAGGTGCTCTTGTTTCCTCTTCCCTAGGCTCCTCGTAGCTGTTACAGCTGCTCTGTCTCTGCCAAAGTTGAAGGTGACAGAGCACAAGACAGCCCATGGAGCCAGGGAAATTAGTTTGAACTAGAATGAAGGATTTTCTGCTCCTTGGCCCCATCTCTCTGGACCCTGCAGTGCACCAGCCATGGTGGCCCTTCATCCCACCCACACCTTGGTTTCCAGGCAGGTGTCTTCCCCAAGGGCCTCCCACTGTAACCCACGCCTAGCTGTTTGCAGAACCTAGAGGCTGGGATTGCCAACTCCCATTACAGTGACCTCTGCTTCTTCAAAGTGGTTCTCCTATTGACAAGAGAGCTATGAGGGAGCAAGGACCAAGAAAACTCAACGTGGAGGCCCACAGTCAAAGCACCAACTCAGTCATTCATTTGTATCCCTTTGCAGAAACTGACCCCTTTGGTTCTCGTTCTTCATTATCAAAATGAACATATTCTTGGCTCTCTCACTGGGTTATTGGAGGAATGCTTTATATACTCCGATCTTAGTGTCATCAGTATATAATGTTTGGAAATCAATAATTAAATGGATCATTTGATAAAAACATACTTCCAGATTTCAGTCATTCTATCTTTGGAACTGCCGTTGGACTGTTTCCTTTCTTTTTTCTCTGTCTCCAGGACCTTCCTCCAAGCTTTTCTTCAAATACTTTTCTTTACATCCATGGGGCTCTTTCAAAATCTCTTTTAGGGACTCCCCAGAAAACCTCCTCCCCTGAACCGCACCTCCTCCTCATTTTTATTTCAACAAGATGAGCACAGGACCCTCATCACTACAGACGGTACTGTACCTGTGGCATGGAGAAGCTTGAAGGAAGAAAAGGGTGGATCAGAGAGTATTCTTTGTGGTTAGAGATGAGGGCATGATGTGAGTGAGAGGTCTTTGGTATGCACTACTTGGCAGCAGTAAAATGCAGAAGTTTTTAAAATTGTGTGCATGCAGCAAAAACAAAATGTTGAATTTTAAAGTATCTTATTTTCCTACTGGTTCATATGCACCCTGACTCACATTTGAAATATTATTGGCTGAGACCTGGAGCAAAATATAAATGCTTATTTGTGAACAACACGTTTAAGATAAATGTTCACACCTCTGCGTGGTTTTCTGAATGTCTGATGAGATTCTCACTTGTGTGTCCATGGAGTCTAAATATTGCCTTTGTGTTAGGCCAGAGCTTCTCAAAGTGTTCACCTAAGTGCCCCTTACTAGAGAAGAGAGTGAATGCAGACAAGGATTGTGCACCAAACCCTGAAGAAACCTACTAAAGATGTGTGTTTCCTTCGAAGCTTTATGTTTTATCTGGGAAAAAAAATACCTATGGCTGTTGTATTTTATGGCATAGCATATCTAGCTTTATTTTATTATGAAAATGTCTTAAAATGTTCTCTCATATTCTAGAAATATTGAAAGAACAGTGTACAGCATGTAAATATAAATATTAATATGTAACCCTAATGAAACCATGTCCCATGTGGTCCAGTCCCAGAACCATGTCACATTTAACAAAATACAGCCTAAATTCATAAACAAAAAAAAAGAAAAGAAAAGAAAAAGCTACTAAAAAGGAACTCTGTTCTTTACCTGTTTTTCCTGAACGGTAATAAAAGGGATCCAATTCATATCTCCACCCAGAAGCACTTCTTGTATTCCCTTTTTTTCTTCCACATTTCACTCTCCAAAGCATCATCCACCACCACAAAATGCTCCCTCTCTATCTCCCACATGGCTTTTACTCTCTTCCACTAAACTCCTTCTTTCTCAACTCTTTATTGTGTGGATCTACTCAACTGTTCTAGAAAAGAACTTCTCCTCATCTTCCCTCCTTTCTGTGTAGTCTCTGATTCTAGGAACAGGCAAAGACCAAATGAGATTGAGGATTAGGGTGGTGGAGAAGGGAAAACTGGACCAACAATGACAGTATTCTCACTGGCGGGCAGAGAGAGAGATCTCTAAAGATTATCATGTTCATAATTTGTATCCTATCATATATAAATATAAAAATGGAAATATTTCATTCCATACTCTGTATTGATTGCAGGTCAATGTGTCATTTTGTTCACATATTACTGAATGTTTGGGATGTAATTAGATGTTGTACCTACAACTGACAAGCATTATTACCTTCCTTATTTATAAATATGTCCCATGAGTGTTAGTAGTGATAGGACATAATATTTTAACCCAAAACTGTGCTTTTTAATATAAATGTAATATTTAAAGAACAACTATTTGGAGCCCATGCAAAATTTTAAATGCCTGTTCTGTTACTTTGATGACACATTTTGTGGAAAATCAGGAAATAACTGAGACAAACATTTCTCTTGGTCACCATCATTATGTGAACCCATGTACCTTTATGACAAATATTTGCTGGCCTCCCCTTGTATCACTTAAGGAAACTCAAGATCTTTGTGCTGAACAAGTAAAACTTTCAAAATGGACATGATGGAAGTCACGCATTGGATTTTGCTTCAAAATCTTTTCAGTTAAGTGTTAACCATAAACAGATTGTATTTTATTACTCAAGCAGATGGAATGATATCATTGCTGTTTTTTTAAAGCCAGTTCAGACATTAATCACTGTGTGTACCTTTTCATTGGTGTCATATTATATATATATAAATATTTGTGACTAGATTAAGACAACCAAATGAGCCTTTTAAATTAGTAGCATTTGTCTCACAGGTATGTCTATCAGGTAATTTCTATACAGAAGGCTGTAAGGTAGGTGCTCTGGGGAGGGAGAAATCATAGAAAGATGTCAGGCAAAAACTAGCCTTTAAGGATCCCCAAAATCTATAAAGCTAATAAAACATTCCCAGAAATAATTATACCACTGAGTGGAAAGTGTGAAGTGCCTTCTGAGAGGTTTAGAAGAAGTATTCCGAGAATCTTAAGAAGAGAGAGATGACTTAGAGATGGGAGCATCAAAGAAAGCTTATGGAAAAGGGAGCAGATGACCTGGGCATTGGTGGATGGTTGTACAGGAACTCAGAAGAAGGACATTTCAAGAGAAGGGAATCTTAACGAAAGCAGGAAATGTTTAGGTACGGGGTGGTGTTGTTTGGTTGTACTGAGGAAAAGGGCTGGATGGACCATGCAATTGAAAAGATGGTTTGGATCTTCTTAACACAGTTGGGGAACTTGTGGTTATTCAGAAAGAGGTAAGGGCTCAAAGGCAATGATAAGCAGAGATGGGGCATGGGACTCCAGTAGTCTCCTGGTGGAGAAGGGATGAAAGGCAGTCTAGACAGATGGACAGCAGGCACAGGGACAAGCGGTCGTGGAAGGATATTGAGCATCCTGGGAATAGTGAGAACTTTGTTATGGCCCGAGCGTATGTGGAATGAGCAGGGCTGCCTAACAAGACAAGAAAGGGAGGTTGCAAACACATTCCAAAGGAAATTATAGGCCAAGCTAAGGAGTTTGGTGTTTATCCTAAACACACATAAGAACTAACAGAAGGTTTATGAGAAAAGTAACTCTATGGGCAGGCTGGAGCATAGGCTAGCAGGGTCAACAAACTTTTTCTATAAATGGCCAGATCGTAAATATTTTAGACTTTGTGGAGCACATATGGTCTCTGTTGCATATTCTTTGGTTTTTCCTTTTTCCTTGTTCTTAAATTCTTTCCTTCTTCTTCTTTTTTTTTTAAATAATCTTTTAAAAATGTAAAAACCATTCTTTACTTCTCTAGCCGTACAAAACCAGGCCTCGGCTGCCTTTGGCCCTCTGGCCTTGAGAAGATGGAAGCGGCAGGAAAAATCGGACCCAAGGTTGTTGCACAGAGAGCAGGTGATAGAGATAGCAATGAGGAGATGCAAGGGGGTAGGTCTGACATAGAATTTGCCGCAACAATTGTTTGACTGTGGGTAATTAGGAAGAAAAGGCCAAATCAGGTATGATTCTGAGGCTTCTCGAGAGACCAGTGTGGTGGTATTGCTGTTAGTTAACACCAAGACTCTGGGGGAGTTTTGAGAGAACGTGGATTCAGTTTTGAAGCTGTGGAGGGTGATGTGTCCGCGGGTCATTCAGGGAAAGGGTGCTAGGGGACAGTTGGCCCAGTTTCCTCCCATCCAGAATGCGTGCCTCGTTGGGAGCCTCTGAGGTAATAGATTTGAAAGTATAGAGCGTCACGTGAGTCTATAGGACAGGAAAGAGCTGGTCCTTAGGAAGCTGAGATGGGCGGGAGGGTTTGGGATGAGTTGGAGAGGGCGAGACTGGAGCCGGAAGACCAGATAGGAAGCTCTTGCAATAGTCTAGGGAAGAGGAAATAGTGTCTCAGAGTGGAACAGAAAGAAGGCGACAGATGGGAAAGATAGCATGGGGAAGAATCACGAGAACTTGGCACTGTGTGCATGGGAGAAGAAAGAGCCGTCTGTGATCATCGTCCTCAAATTCCAGTGTCATGGGAGGAAGCTACCTCTGTCTTGTTCTTTTCTTAGTTCTTGTTTTAGAAACCTGCTAAGTGACTGAAGTGCTCACAGAGCATAGAATCTGACCACTTTTGTAGCTTTTCAATTTTTGCAATCAATTGCAAATATCTTATTTTAAAGTACAGTGGAAGATAGCCGTGTCCCGCATGCAAGAACTTTTGCATGTTCTCTATTAACACTAGAGAACATGTAGAAATGTAGTAAAAACAGTAGAGTCCTCGGTGAAAGAGTTAAAAACAGATTTAAGAGGTTGGAACTAGGACATATCTTAACCAAGGGCTTTGCAATTGTCTATAAGCCTAGGGTAAGCTCTCAATCTAGGTAGACTTGCATGTTGCCAGCCTCCCTGTAATTCGTTACACTGGATCGAAACAGTTGCTTGTGGCCTTATTTTAGCATATCTTCCTTAAAAGTCTAAGTGCCATTGAGATACGGTAACTCTGTACATCTGTCTTCCCAGTGCATTAAGCTGCTTTGTTAAAACACATATATAACCACCTCTGTCCACAATGTGCACTCACTCTAACACTCGAGATGCTTGGCAGTTAGACTAGAAAGGGCACAAAACCTTTTTTTTGTCTGTTTGGCAATTAACCATTCACTGGCTTTTTTTGTTGTAACATGCACTTCCTTTCTCTTGTTTTCATTCAAGCTGTGTACGCCATGGAAATTAATGTGGAGACAGACAAACAAACAGGAGAGACCAAGATTCTCTCTACATCCACCATTGGCCCAGAGGGGGTCCATCAGAGAGGAGTCAAAGTCTATGATGATGGTACCAAAGTAGTCTATGAGGTGCACTCTGGAGGCACCATAGTAGAAAACGGAGTGCACAAATTAAGCTCAAAGGATGTAGAAGAGCTTATTCAGAAGGCTGGACAATCAAGCTTAAGAGGAGGGCACGTGTCAGAAAGGACTGTGGTTGCAGATGGGAGCGTCAGCCACCCTAAGGAACACATGCTCTGCAAAGAAGCCAAGTTAGAAATGGTACATAAGTCTAGGAAAGATCATACTTCTGGGAACCCAGGGCAGCAGACCCAAGCCCCCAGCACTGAAGGGCCAGAGGCACACTTGGATCAGCCAGTCACCATGATTTTCATGGGCTACCAAAATATCGAGGATGAAGAGGAGACTAAAAAGGTGCTAGGCTATGATGAAACCATCAAGGCTGAATTGGTCCTCATTGATGAAGATGATGAGAAGTCATTGAGGGAGAAGACAGTGACAGATGTGTCCACTATTGATGGGAATGCAGCTGAGCTTGTGTCCGGGAGGCCCGTCTCAGACACCACAGAGCCCTCATCCCCAGAAGGGAAGGAAGAGAGCCTGGCCACAGAGCCAGCCCCAGGTACCCAAAAGAAAAAGCGCTGTCAATGCTGTGTTGTCATGTGACCACTTCTTTCTTCCCTTTTCTTCTGGGCAGCCTCTGTGCTCTCCACCACTTACGTAGACCTCACTGTACCACTAACTGCAATACTGTGAACTGGAAGCAAACACCTGCCTTGCCTTGCAGTTGGATTGCTTTGATCTCTCTTATTTTTTCCCTTTCATTTTCCTCCAGTTTCCTCACCTGAGAGACAACGTGCATGTGTGTGCTTCATTCTTTCCAAGAACTTGCTTTTCCTCTAAACCTTTCCTTGTGTCTTCAAGAGTGAATCAATTCCTTACTGCTCGATTGGAATGGACTCTTCATATCAGCCAGTTATATAGTAGCCTTAATTCACTTGACTGGAATTGAGCCCATTGGTACCGGGGGCTTCATTTTGTAGCGTGTTCCTATCACGTAGTCACACATCATCGCCACGTCGCTGATTTCTCCCTTGCCTCCCTTGCTGTGGATCTTTGCTTTTATATCTTGTGTGGCAAAATGCTGTTGGCTCTAGCCGGTTGCTAGTGTAGCCAAAAGTGGACCTTACTTAGTCTGTCCAATCTAGGATGATGCTTTTTGCTGCCTTACGTAAGCTTCCAGATTACAGTATTGTGCATCTTTGGCTTTCCTTCTGTTAAAACTGAAATGAAGTTGATGTAAAAGAAAAAGACGCAGCGCTTGTCACAGCTGAAACGTAGGGACTGATTCCGTAACCTGCTCATCAGGAGCTGTCTCATTCTATGGCTTAACTGATGGACCCTTTCTATAAGAAGCACCATTTTTAATTTTCTAAGGACATGAGACAAACATTGTTTTAAGCATCAGTCGTGATCTCCAAAATTAGGTAAATCCATTCTATTCTCTCAAAAAAATGTAAACTTTTATATTGGTTTTTTTTTCACGGATATTTTCTGATCATGTTAATCTGTTTTCAACGAAGGGATCATTTTGAGGAATATCTCTGCAGTGACCATATTTCTAAAAGAGTCTTTGTGACCTACCCTGGTTCCTGCGGCGATGTTCCCACTTCATTGTGGATGGTGCTGTAACTGAACTTAACAGTTCATCTCCCCTGACCAGTTGATTACAGAGCCTTACATCTGGACTCTTTTCTTTCTGTCCCTGTGAGAAAGAGAATGTTTCCCGTAATGTCACCGTGTAGGTTTATTCACCCCTCAAAAGAAACTTCAGAATGGAAAAAAAATTTTAAAGATTAAGAAAGACCTGTATTCTCAACGTTAAGTACTTCAAGCCATTCCACAAATGCTCATTGGGTAACACATAACTGAGCTTTTTAAAGCATGGTTTCTTAAACTTCTGGAGATTTCGGAACATCAAAAGATAGTTTTTATCTAGAACATGATGAAGAATTCTTTTAAAAAATTCTTAGCGCTCCCCCAAAGCAAACAGCCACATGTATAGTAAAACCAAAGGGAAGCAATTTAGTAAAATAATAATATAGTAATGAAACAAAGATGTAACATTTTAACGGATTTTAGTAACAGAGATATCTTAACTTTAAGTTATTTGCCCAAATGTTCATAGTATTATTGCAAATCATTTATAAAATTATCTTAGTTCTATAGAACATAGTTTTGAAAAACATACAGTAAGACATACTACATCCAGTCTAACTTCTGTGGAAAGTAGATGAGAAAAAAAAAAAAAAGGTAGTTTTGAGAGAGTTTTTTTACAGAACCAGCTAAATTTGTCATAAATAGCTTTTTTAGTACTAAATCTACCTATGATTATTTTAAGTGTCTTTGCTTGAAATTATATTTATTCCAAGAGGAAAGAAAAAAACGATAGTTTTTAATTTTCAAAGTTACTTTTTTTCAAAAAATTTACATTTTTAATGAGCACAAAGTGAGTAATTTTATCACCAATATGTAAACAAAAAAAGTTAAACAAGGGAGAAATAAAGGAGCTAAGTTCTACTTTCTAGATGATTCCATCCATGGCTTGATTTTGAATAGCTGAGGGAATATATCTAAGTGTCAGGTTCACCAAAGCAGCTACAATTGAATAACTGCTCTATTACCTAGAAATAATACCTGGTTTTGCTGCCTATAAATCTTGCCACTCTCAGCTTCATGCTCCTCAGTAAATGGTCGTTTAAGAAGCATCATTTAAATGTTTGATAAAATGACATGCCAGATAGACCTATTTACATAGAAAAAACAGATTCATTGTTTTGGACAATCTATTCCTTTAATTATTTAAGAAAGAAACAGTCTAAAAGTTTACCATCACTTATCTTTTTGGGAATTAAAACTATTTGATATGAGTTTTTGAAAGCACAGTCAGTGAGTGGAATGATAGAATTTAGAGCCCGTGGGAGTGCTGTTTGAGAAACAGAATCAAGAGTCTTAACAGGATAGATAATTCCCTGAAACGACCTACCATAAGTCAACTGGTTTCTCACAGAGACAATGATCTGCACCTCTCTCTACAACACTACGTGTAAGATCCAAAAGACCAATGATAATCTACACTCTCATTCATCAATTATTATTATAGGGATTAGCAAATTATATGAATTTGAGTTCTCTCTATACTTTTAAAGCTTATCATTTAATGGTTTTTAACATAAGATGTGTTCCCTTTATTAAAATGATTTGTGGCCACAGTAAATGAAGGTGTGTATGAATATGGCATATGTATTTGCATATCTTGCATCATTTTCCTATCATAACAGGGGATTCAGGCTCAGCCAGGACTTTTATGGGATGAGACCTATAATCCCATCTACAGCAACAAGTAACTCTCTTTCATAATGAAAATATCCACAGAGTTGTGATTGTGAACATTCTGCCTTCCTTGCTGATATTGGCATTTTCTCTGTAAAAACGCTATTGTGTGTGGTATCACGTCCTTCAAAAATACAGGGTATTGACTTCCATAACCAGACTAATTAGAGAATCGATAATGAAGCTGCAAAACCGTGGTTGTTTTTGAGCTAATGGTTAGTGGGACTTTCTTTTAAAATCGTATAATCAGTTCCCTGTTAGATGGAAAAAGGAGAAAGAGGGAAAGAAGGGATATTTCGTTTGTTTATAAATAGATTTTCAATGGCGTTGAATTAAAAATCCTTTAATGGTTAAAATGATAAAGTTCAACCTTACATATCCTGAAAAATCTTGATGACTTGTGTATCCTTGACTCTTTTTTCCTTTGATGTACAACAGGACAAACTAAGGGGATTTTTTTTTTTACTTTGTACCTCTTTTACCCCTAATTATACTATTTTCCTTATATAAGCAAAAGTTAGTTTGACAACATCCAGTGATGTGGCTTAATTTTGGGAATAGAGAGGACGAGGGACTAGGGAATTTCCTTCTGGCAACCCCAAACATGGTTTCCGTAAGCCTCCTGAGCAGCCTAAAATTATTCAAAGGCCTTCAGGAAACGCAAACAAATTCTAGAGTTCATTTGGTTTGACTCCTTTCTGAAATGTTAACAGACATGTGTCTGCTTCAGACTCCCACCTCTTCCATTCTACTTTCTGGTGATAAATGTGTTTTTCCTACATGCAAGTAGACTATTTTATTTTTGTTTAGGGTCAAGTTTTTATAAAAGGGGGAAAACATCTAAACCGAGTTTTCTAGAGATACAATATTATCTCTGGAGCAAAACGTTGAGGCCAAGTCTGAAAACAGCTTATTTCTTTTCACTTCCTGCAGAATTTCATTTCAAGGGGCTGCAGGACACCCTTGACAATGATCATTTATTTAATGCCAATGAACCAGTGGGTAGAAAAAGAGGAGGGAGGAAACGTGATAGAGGCCAAAATCGAACCACTAAACCAGTTCTTCCCTTTTAAAAAGCATTAACCCTGTCGATTTAAGGGTCTTACTCAAACTCTAGAAGCTCTGCCATCTCTGTTTGTCACTGGACCCACTGCGAAGTCTAACTCCCCAAAGGGCCCATTCCTTATGGGAATATTCTCATCTCCTGCGACCCTACTTTGTTTACAACAAAAACCATTCCAAGGCGAGCAGTTGCATGTTGTATTTTTGCAACGTGCACATTTGGTATTGAAACCACCGATTCTCAGCAGAGTAAGATGTAAGTTTCAGAAACTTTGTAAATATGCAATCTTTCAGAGGCTCCTCAATTTGCTAATCAAGGTATATAGAACTCCACTGATTAGGATAGAACCAGAAACTATCCTTTATCGTCTTGGGTGGTACAACCCAGCAGGGCCACAGAATTATGGTATATATCACAAAATAGCTCGAAGGCATGAGCAAGATGGAATCTTTGAGTCCAGTTGCCAGTTCACCTTCATTGTGTAGTCTTCTGGTCTCTTCAGGAAAACTTTCCTGCATTTTTTAGGGAAAAAGAAAAGTCGATCTTTTATGAGGAGCACAGTGCCGTTATGTGTCTGTATTTTCATAGCTTCAGCAAAGTCCATAATAAAATTCCCATTTTAACAAAAACCAAAATACTTATTATTTGAATGTAGAAAAAGACAGGATAAAGATTACATCCTCAAAGCGTCCAAGGGCAACTTCACTGGGGATCTCTAGACTAGCCTCCCTCCCACCCCCTTGAGTTTTATACGACTTAAATCGGCCTCTGCTTCCCCTCTCCACTCCAGTTGAACATAAGGTCAGAACCGTAGCACAAAAAACTTGCTTTCAACGTGAAAATATAACATGTAATTTTGGGGACTGCAGACTTTCTGCATCAAAGATCTGGACAGCCTTAACTTTTGTAAAAAACAATTTTTCAATGCTCTCTTTTACTAAGCAGGAAAACAAAATGCTTCCTGACATTAATGACTTTTTTATATTTTGTGACTTTTCTAAGTTTCTACAGGTTGAGGTACGAATGGTCATCTCCCCACATTGCTCTTACTAGTCACCTGGGGCTATTTTTTTGCAAGTCACTGCATTTTTACCAAAAGAAAAGTCTATTTCCTGAACCAGAAAATTCTCCCTAGATTTCAGGCAGTCCTTCTGGAGTGAAAGAACAGAAACACAGAAAGAAAAGAATTACAGGGTGGCTTTCTTTTTATTTTCCTATGGTTAATGTACTGTATCGTATATATGTTTACAGAATGTACCTGCCTTGTGATGTTCACAAAATGAATGACAAAAAAAAGAGTTCTGATGTGCCATTTGAAAGTTTGCCTTAGCATCGCTGTTTATGTTCTTCTTTTCTGTCCTTTTCAAAAGCGCAGGTTGTATTCCAAAGCTGTATGAACACAACATTCTCTTCCCCACCCCTACCCAGCCCTCTTTGGAGCTGTGAATTTCATCACAGGAGCCTTGAGGCAGATCTGGCTCAGGCGGAACAAAATGAGAATAGCTTGGGCATTGCCTGTGCCCGTCTACCAACCACACATGCTCTTGTGTTCTCATTTGAGCCTGCAGTCATCACACTCCGACATTCCTGGGCAGGCCACCTGGAGCACATGACCTGCTACAGTCCTTCCCGCCGTGAGGGAGGACAACTTGTGGACCTCCTTTCTGGGCCTGGGAGCATATTTTAAAGCACAATTGGCACAGCTTGAAAAAGCAGGAGAGTGGGACTCACCTGGTGTGATTCAGCCATATCTGAGGGGGTGCCCGTTCATTGTAGTCTAAGACGAGTAGCATGATATGGGTGGGAGTCAGGAGTGGCTGTAGAAATAGAATATTGTACATTTATGTATTTTTTTAAGGAAAAATATTTTTATAATGAAATCTGTATGCATTAGGAAGCTTGAGTTTGAAAACACCACTGATTGAGTTATTTCTCCATTTCATTAAGGTAACTTTCTGGTGAGTTCTAGAGCTCTAGCCCAGACCTTGGGGGGCATGGGGGTCTGTGACCTGCCCTTGCACCGCCACTGCATGGAATCTGGTGTTTCCAAACAGACCTAGGTTGTAAGATCAAGCTTTCTATACCTGGCATAAGAAACTGTGTTAAGTGGCTTGGGAGCTCTCTGGGCTACACCTTTAACAATATACAACGATCTTTTGGAAGGAGATAGCTATTTTAAATATAAGCCAAGCCCAGCAATGATCAAAGTCTCACTCCTTCACATGTTTAAGGAGTAACTGCTACATTTGAGGTTAAGAGACCACTCGCTCTGGTGCATTTGAGTAATATATGTGAAATGCTGAGTCAGAAGCATCTGGCCATCCACAACCTAGACATAAATGTATAAACCAACAATATAAAACTTACCAGGTATTGTTGGCCTTGTAAATATCAACAAGGCTGTATCTTATTTTCAGAGTTAAGTCAAGACAGGAAAGAATTGTCCTTAGCCATCCATACAGGAGATTCTGAATGTTTAGAGTTTTGAATTGGATTTTTTTTCCCCCAAATTTCTGCCCACCTCCTGAGTTCCCATCGCATACACACGCAGTTTCATGAAGGTCTTCACCCACGCCTGTTCCTCTGGCTGACAGAGTGAGTTAAGCCTCAGAATCTACTCCCTACTCCTGGTAGACTCTCTTCCCAGGCAGCATCCTTTCCTGAGCTGGGCCCCCTTTTCTACTACCCTCAAAGACCGAGATCCTTTTTACAACAGGGCAAGGTCATAAACACTCCCTCCATTTCAAGAAAAAGAACCCCTCTGGTACCCATGCAAATCATTAGAATTCCTTCATCATCAGAACCCCTCCAATATGCCCAACTCAAGCCCAGCTGTGAACATTAGTGTCATGGAGACAAATCCAAAAATGAAAGAACTATGCAACCTCCTGAAGGTGCTAAGGGAGAGCCAGTGTACTCTGGTCTCTTATTACTCTGGGCACCTCTCAGTTTCCACATGAGGTGGGCAGGGATTCATCCAGTCTCTAGGTTTTGCAACAACAAGCCTTTAAGTACAAAGTGGCCACCAGGCGATGCCTGATCTGAACTCTTCTGCGTGCAGCTCCAACTCCAATTCCGTGATATCCTATTCTGGCAAGTGGGAAGAATTCTATCCTTTGTGGGGTTCTGGAACATTCTTTCCTCCTCTCAAGCTCCTGACTTAGTAGAGTTGAAATCACACAGGGGTTCCAGAAAATGTTGTGTCTGATGCAGCTTTTCAGTGAATGTAGGTTGTTGATGGAATTTTCAGCTTTAGCAGCTCACTGGGGTGAGTGACATCTCTGTAAATATATCCATTTTGTGGTTGGTTGGGGGGTGGGGTGGGAGCCTGTCGTGCTTACTCTGAATTAGACTTGCCGGACTAGCTGCTGTACTTTGTAACCTGAAGTGTACTTTGACTGTTCTGTTTCCTTCAGATGAAAAACAAAACAAAAACCGACTTCAGAAATAACACTGCCAGCGACAGCTGATGCTGTACCTGTAGCTTCTCTCTGGTCCTCTGTACAGTATTAATAGACAATAAACTGCCTTTTCACTGCATCTACCTCTGTGTGTCTGTGCCCCGATTCTTTCCCCTTCTCACCTGCCACGAGTGGACTTCAGGCCAGACCGCGTTGGGAGTGCCTTCGACTGCTCACTAAAACTAAACACTAACTCAGTGCCTTTCAAACTTGAGCATGCTTCAGAATCACCTGGGGTACTGCTAAGAATGTGGAAGCTCAGTCACACCTCTGGAACTCAGATTCGGGTTCCTGGGTGGGGCCTGGTAACCCGCGTTTTAAAAAACGTCTCCAGGTGATTCTGATACATTGGCTCCTGGCCCATGCATGGGTCTAGATGCCCCTTGGTGGGAATCCCTGTGGCCTGCCTGTTCCAGCTGGTTTCCACACTAACTAATCCCATCTCCCACCATTTCCTCTCTAACCCCCTCTCGCACATCTGTCTCCACACCTGTCATTCTTTTTCTTGATCCTTGCAAGCCCCCAGCAGCGGCATTGACTGGGATCTGTGGGTCAAGCTCAGGCTGCCCCTTAGGTTAAGTGGTAATCATTCAGAACAGTCTTCTCACCAGGAACATCTGAAGACACATGAGGACTTTGCCATTCTTCTTTACCGTTGTATCCTCTTTAGCTAGAATAGGGTCAGCAAACTTTTCTGTAAATGGCCAGATAGTAAATATTTTTGGCTTTGTGGGCGAGATAATTTCTGTCACAACGACTCAGCTCTGCCAGAAAGCGGCCATACGCCACACGTAAATGGATGAATGTGGCTGTGTTCCAATGAACCTTATGTGGAAAACAGACAGTGGACCGGATTTGGTCCTTGGGCTTGTAGTTTGCTAAGCCCTGGCCTCAAACAGGGCCTGGCACATAGTAGGTACTCAATGAAAAGTTAAAAAGTTACTGCATGAAAGTATGAACAAAGAGCAAATGTGATACCACCTGCGGAACTGTCACAGAAAGTTGTTTTCTTTGAGGATATGGAGTAAATGAAATTAGCTGGTAAATTCTTATCTGTTTGGATTCCATGGCGGATTTTTTTTTTGATGTCTTTATGTATGGAAGGTAACTTTATAGATCAACATTTGAACGGTGCCTTGTAGACTGCTCAAACTGCCAAGCCGAAATTAACGAGTGTTTCAGCCAATAGAAAGTTGAGGAAGTGCAAAGACATCTTGTCCTTGTCAGGGTACTGGGGATACCAAAACTGGGTGGTCCCCAGGCATCTAAGCATTTGATCCAAATGTTTGTGGAGCTAGGTTTTGTCTGATCCAGCCTACACATGAGCGACAGGGTTTTCTTTACATTATTCTCTTTGTTAATTGAAATATTCTTTAGTGTGTGGACATGTAGACTGGAACTCTGATAGCACGTTACACATCCCACAACTCTAGGGCACACCAACGGTGACACTTCTAGTAGTGTATGCAGAGCTGTGTGCTTACATCCATCCCCAGCATTGTCATGGAGTTAAAGAAAATTTTATTTATCCAAAGCACTTTGAAAGCTGGAAGGAGATGAAAAATGTTAGTTTACTTGTGATGAGGAAGTTTCTATTCCTCTACCAAATGTCTCATCTTTCCCAAATGCATAGGCTGTTCAGATATATTTCGAAACCAGTATAAAAAGGGAAGTTGCTTTTCCCTCCCTTGGGTTCGTGACTACTTTTGTATTATTTTGAAACATATGAAATTGCCATTTTATAGATCTTATTGATATTGTTGAATATGAACAGTTCCATACAGCTGAACCTAATAATTCTATTTCAGATTTCATTTCCCATCACGGGGGGCAAAAGATTACCAGATGAACTCTAACTATAGCAGGAGAAATTTAGGTGAGAAAACAAGAACTTTGGAAGAGAATATAGCTCAGTACTACCGAGGTAGAACCAGGCATTTCCCCTGGGAGCATAGGATTTTCTTTAATCCTACATCAACCCTATGAGGTAGACATCGCTATTATTCTCCTTTATACACGAGGAAACAGAGATACGGTGATAGTAATTACTTGCCTAATGTCGCAGAGCTAAAAATTGGGGTGGAGGTGGGCAGGAACAAGTTTTGAGCTCAGCTGTCTTCCTTTCACACAGAAGGCTCTATGTCATGAAAGTGGTGTGGGGATGAAGCTGAGACTGGATACAAAAACATGGATAACAGAGCCATCTGTGCAAAACAAGACAAAATGGCACCTTCTTATTTGGCACCTTTATCTACTCAAGCAAGTGCTCTGTAGTAACACCGCCCCCTAGAGGATGGGGTGGGGGTGTCTCTGCAGCACTTCCTTCCCAAAGGAGAAGGAGAGAGTGAAATCAGCCGTTGTTCTCTTATCTGTTCGTTAGCAATCCTGTTGTTCTGCTTGACAGTTTTTCCTTCCCTGTTCAGAAAAATGATGAACAAAATTGCCCAAAACCCTTCTGTAAAGTCTAAGAGTTGCATGGCCATCTCTGAATGGGCAAAGGTGGCTTTGTGGTTGTGGCTAGTATTGTTGTTATTATCATTTTGCCCATATCATAACAGCTATGAGGAACAGTGCCCTATGGCATTGTGCAAGCGCCTTTTGACCTAGGCTGTCTTACCCTTCTGCAACCACCAGTAGAACACACCGTCTCCCCAACAGCCCAGCTCCTGTCCTGCTTTCCTCAAACGGTGTCAAATCCTTCACTTTATGGCCTACACACAAAAGCAAAGATTTGCTATCTAGATATTAAGTGTACACGGTCTCAGAGATCATCTAGTGCAGAAGTCACAAGATGGTTATCCACGGGCTGCATCTGGCCTACAGTTATATTAGTTTTGCTTGTGTAGTGTTTTAAAATCTTTTTAATTCTTGGGCAAAAATGACAAATTAGAGAATTCTCATTTTAAACGTATGGATTTCCAGCTTCTCTTGATATTTCAGAGGCTCTGTCTTTTTAAAAAATTTCTCAAAGCTGTTATTTCTTCTATTTCAAGTTTCCAGGGTACATTAGATATTCTTCTATTCTTGCTTACACAGTAAACAAGTATTCACCAGCCCTTGGGCTCAGGTTCATGGGTTTTCCCTGGAGAAGGGTGTCAGGCCAGTTAAACTCAGGGTGTCTTTCTCTGTTCCCTCCTCCTGGGAGCACTGGAAAGTGCCAGGTTCCAAGGGGCACAAGCCAGGCCCAGCTGTGTAGGTGTGCAAAGAGCTCCATGCACAGGTCTCTGTGCCTTGGTGCTGAACACCTTTAGTCTCTGGGACAGCACAGAGTTTTGTCCAACTACTTAGGGCAACATCAAGCCCATGTGAAAGAATCATACAACTGGGGCAAGATGTCCCAGGCTCCAGCTCCCAGGGTCGGACTGAAGACCAGGGCCAAGAGGAGCTGAAGGGTGGCGTGTGCATCCCTGAGAAACTTGGTCCAAAGGGCACATATCTAGGAGGCTCTGAGAAAGTTGGCGGCGGGGATAGGGGTCTGGCAGGAAAGTCAGGGAGAAAAAGCAAGTTAAGAGGGACTAAATTAAAGGTGAGAGAAGTGCTAGGAATAAGGGGCTTGTGCTATTCTTCCGTTGTTTCCCTGGCTGACAGTGGCCTGGAGCTGATGGTGGCTGCCCCCTTTAGAGGATCCATACTTTCTTATTTACCATCACCACCACCACTTCCTATGACCTTACTCCTGGCCAGCTTCCTTTGTTTATATCACCTGCCTGGCCCCTGTTGGCATTTGAGTGTGTAAATTACCCCTAATCTACCATAATCTACTCATTTTGTGGCTAGGTCAAGTGAGTCCAAGGTGGAGATGGGACTTACCCATATCAAGTCAATAGCTCAACCAGAACTAGAGATGAAGTCTCTGAACTCTTTTGGAAAAATGAAGCTTTGTACTGTGTTTAGATTTAAATCTCATAAAACCATTTTAAAGTTTGAACAGGCTAGAAGCAGAAAGCCAATATCAGAATCTGGTGGTTTTGCTTTCTTACAGAAGAACCCGTGTGACTTGTATAATGAAAGATTATCACAAGGCTAATGAGCTCATTTATAGCTCAAGAGAAAAGAGAATCCTTTTCCTACAGCAATTTATGGTGTATAGATTATGCCATTCTATATTCCTTAGGTTGAATGAATGATGTAATGTTTTAAGAACTTTATGCTATCATGTGCTTTGTGGTCAAAAGTTGCATTCTTGGAAAAATAAACAAAAACTTTGTATCAGCAGTTGAATAGTTCTGAGGGCCTCATATTTCCTCCTAGGAAAAATAACAGGAGGCAAATCCCATATATACTTAAGTTTAAATGTGTTCTGCTCTCCCCTCCTAAGCTGTAGTCTCTTGTCTTGTTCCTGAGGTCATGTGGTCACAGAATAGTAATATTCTCTAACATTCACTTCCTTATCTTACTGAGAATAATAATCAGCAACGTTTGACAGTTCAAAGAACTGATAAAATAGGGATCTTTCTTCCCATGACTTGTCATGAAAAAGCAATGTGATCTAGTATTTTCTTTTTTAAAAGTTTTAACTAAAGGCTAATCAGATTTAAGGTGATCATTGTGGGGCAGGCCCGGTGACCTAGAGGTTAAGTTCACACACTCTGCTTGGGCGACCCAGGGTTCGTCAGTTCAGATCCTGGGCATGGACCTTCACACCGCTCACCAGGCCATGCTGTGGTGGCGTCCCACGTAGAAGAACTAGAAGGACTTACAACTAGGATATGCAACTATATGCTGGGGCTTTGGGGAGGGAAAATAAAAGGAGAAAGATTGGCAACAGATGTTATCTCAGGGCCAATCTTAAAAAAAAAGAAAAGAAAATGCAAAAAGAAAAAAAGATCATTGTATTTCCCCACTTTTTTTCCATTCCCAAGTCACTGAGTGTTGAAAACATGAGCAGCAGACTTACTCTTTTCAGGCCAGGGTTCTTCTGTCAGCCAGAGGCCGGGCTAAAGGTGAGAAAAATTCTGAGTCAGTGTGAATCGTCCGTACTATCAGAATATGCTGTCTCAAATTTGTTTCGTAGTGAGCTTGTTTCAAACCAGAGTGCAAGGACAGGTTCAGTTGTTTCTTCTTTCCCAGAATTCTGACTAAAT